CAGGAAAACAACACCCAAATATCTCATAATTCAAAATATTACAAATATTTTTTTAAAGGTTAATGATTTTATAAGAATTTAATATACTCTTCTTGGAAATCATCATCACAAGCAAATGTTAAAAAAGCTTCATTATCTTCATCAGCATTGTCTCTTACTTCAGAATCCTCTTCATCACCCTCCTCATCCTCATTCTCAATAGCAACCACGTCATGCCTAGATGAAGATTCATTCTCTTCCTTTTAGATCTCTTCTGAATGTTGTAAATTTTATCATAAACACCAGTAGCTTTAGGACACTTGTCCAAGTTAAATCTTTTTCTCCATCAATAAAATTATTTTTGTCATCAGACTCATCTAATTTTCCTATTAACCACTCATTAGCATCATCTATCTCAGTCAAAGAAATAGGATCAATCACATCATGATAATTGTATCTCTGAATCAATACTCTAATATATTTTACATAAACTAAATCCTTTAAGCGACCATAATCCAATTTCTTCTTTATTTATTGTGAAGCTGCAATTGAAATATTAATATATTACTATATTATGAACATGCATAAAAAAGCAACACATGCACCATAAAAATACTTACATGTTCAAAAATTAGTCCAATTGCATTTACATCTGGATGAACTACATTTTAGACTTAGGATTTTGATAGCAAATCTTTGTAAATTGGGAGCTCATTGTCCATATGACAACCACCAATCAGCTGGAAGAAATGAAATATTTATTTTCAATATTATATACATGCAAATCAATCTTCATTTTATGTAACTAATGATGCTTGGAGATCGGGTAGTTCTTTGTCTTATAGCTGGAGGAATACCAAAGTCATTCACCCCTAATATATAAACTTGATTAGTTGACTCATTACTGATTTTGGGGCTTCTTTATGTAAGTCATTAGGGGCTTCATATATGTAAGGCATTGGGGACTTTTTTTCTCCATCAACCAACCTAAGAACCTTTAATAAATAACCAACTATTTTTAAGGCATACACTATAGTATTCCAAAATGATTGTTGTAAGATTATATATTGAGATTGTTTCGTTTTAGCCTCTTTCGAATAAGGACCCAGGATAAACTCTTCACAGATAAACATTTTCTTCAAGTTCAGTTGTTATTGGTGAAAACATCGTATAGCTAAGAAAGTTGTTGCAAAATGAGTCTAAGCTCTTTTATTTGTGCACCTTCTCATTAACTCAAGCGAGACCTAAAATATATAAAATTGTGTACTGTCACCGCTTTTTCAAAGCATTGCCTTAACTTTTGAATTTTAAAAATGTACTCCATTATTAAATCTAAATAGTGAGCAACACAATGAGTCTAATAAATATAAGGATATTCATCCATCAACAATTTTCCTAAAATGTCATTATAATTCAAGTTAGGACCAAAAATTCATTTTCAGATGAAACAACACAAGTTTATATTATAAGTTGTGACATACCTGCAAGAATATTTCCAGATGCATTATCAGTAGTAATAACTTGCATCACATTATGTGGTCCAATAACCTCGATGTACTTGCAAAAGATCAAACATTTTCGCAACGTTCTTAAAAAAATAACAATATCAATTAACTCTACAAATGGGCTAACTCTCGGTCAATTAACAAGAATATTGATTAAGATTTTCTCATTCTTCAATGTCCATCCATCAGCCATTAGGGAACAACTATATCATACACAGTCTTCTTGATGATGTTGTAATAATTTATATGTATGTCCAACCTCTTTCTTCAAACAAGTCACTCGTACCTCATGATAGCTAAGAGGTTTTATTCCATGTCCAAACTGTCCAAGTGCTTCAATATAATAAGGAAACTATCATATTTCACAACATTAAATGGAATCCCAACATCATGCATCCATCTACTAAAAACTTGAATAACCCTTCCCCTCATTTCCTTTTTAGCTGCATTCATTTTTTTGCTAAACTGACATTTTCTATGTTTGACTACATCTTCAGGATTTGGTGTAAGGAAAGTATCTAACGGTCCTTTAGATCGTAATGCTTTGAAGGTAGATGTTGATGTGGAACTCTAGCTAGAAGTGTTGGATTTATTTATTCGCAGTATTTTGGATGGTCCAGCACCTAGAATATCATATGTCATCACATCAAATTCATCTTCTTCATCAAGGTTGGCAGTTGATGTGTCATTAATATGTTCTTATAAATCTTTTTTTTTTTAATATGAATGTCATAATTTTCAAACTTTACGTGCTTAGGAGTTAGGACAATTAGAGCAAGGTCTAGCATTCCTAAAACCCCCAACGAGATATAGTTTGTGGCATGTAATTCATCCTTTTGTTATTTTGCCCCAAAAAATGCATGTCACAGAGTTGTTATCGAATTCCTTTTTTTAGTATTGCATATTTCCATGTTGGATCTTTTTTTGAAGATTGAATTGAAATTGTCATTTTATGATCACCTAAAAGCAAGCAAATTCAAATAAATAAATTTTGGAAAAGATTTGTCATTAGGGAACAACCATATCCATTAGAATTAGATGAACAAAATCAATGTAAACTTGTAAAAGATTTGTGAAAACATAAACAAAAACAAAAACACAAAATAACAAGCACAAACAATGACAAAATTACAAGCGAAGTTGGAACCATTTAGCATAAAAGGGACGGGATAATAGATGCCACATGTTGTTAAAAATACATAGGGAGCAAATGTTAGCATACTTGATATTTGATATCTCCTTATATTTAAGATACCTTTTTATTAAGAAGTGAATGTGAGTAAGATGGAAGTCTTACTTCTTCGAATAGCATTATGGTTTAATAAGTTTCAGCTTAAATGGGCAGCACCCCATCTAAAGCACAAGAGATCATCTACATTCAAGCACCAAAAAAATAACTGTAAAATCCCCAAAACTAGTTTTGTGTAGCTGCTTGACTGCATCAGCATTGGACTTTTAGAAAAAAACAATCCTCATCACTTATGGGAGCTGCTCTCTATAGAGCTAAGACCAAGATCTCCAACTGAAAAAAACATTATTCAATCCACCTCCAGAAGTTTATGAGAATAAAATCCAACCAAAAATATTTTATCATACAATTCAATAAATCTCGAAAGTCTTCATAATAGCTCAAGCGCTTGCACACAAAAAACAAAGTAACATTTAAAACCCACTTGAAATCACAAGCAGTATAAGGAAAGAAGCACTAATAATTGATTGTCTGACTCATCTGAGATAGACCATCACAAAAAGCAATCTTATTTCAAAAAAATTCCATGAAAAACCAATAGCTTCATCATAGCAATAATCAAACAAACTATCAATCCATTCAGCATCTAGTTCAAAAGTGCAAATCATATCACATCTTAAAAAGATCAGATAATATGGCTCCTAATAAATAGCTAGCTAAAGAAAAAATTATTACCAACAAAAATAAAAGGCCAGCTCAACAGCAACGGACTTGTTTGATTAAGGGGCCTCTGTCAAAAACAAAGCGAGATTAGGCGACGCTCGTGCGTGAACAGACGACGTGAAAAATCAGACGTGCGGACTGCAAAACCCATCATTTATCTTCTCTTCGTGCGTGAACAGTCGCAGCGGGTGAGGTTTGTGAAATTAGGGTAACATATGAGCAATCTAATATTTATCAAATACTTTTAATATATTTAAAAATTAAAAAATATATTATCTTACAAATTAAAAAAGATAAATATAAAAAATATTTATAACTACACCAAAATTTTCTAAAAATAATTGCGCGAGCTATTGTACGCTGTGCGCCATGGCGCGCATGTGGCACAAATAGCACGCACCATTTTGAACATATGCGCCACGCCATACACATAGCATCGTAGGTGCGCCGTACCACGCCGCGTGCCATAGTGCATGCTATTTTGCGCCATTGACATATATGCTTGCACCACATTGAAACAATCACCATAACAAAAGTGAAAGAGTAGAGCAATCTTCTTATGAGTTTTGTCTAATTTCCTTCCCTCTCTCTTTCTATCTCTTTCTTTCTCTCTTTTCTCCAACATTTTCTCTTCACTTCTCTAGTCATTTCTTTGGAGCCCACTTCCCCTCCCTTTTTTTTCCTTTAAAAGCACCTAGCCATCCTCTTTCTTCCAATGGAAAGAGGAGAAATATTTAATATCATATGCCTCCTATTTATAGAGCTCAAGGAAGTTAAATTATATTCAAACTTATTTTGAATCTAGTCAATAAGAAGTTTTGTACCGAACTTATGGACATTTGAATTACTAAATAAGTTACTTAAGACATTTATCCATAACAATGTCTTTTTGAAATTATAATTGCCTTTAAGGGAAAAATTGTGCTCAGCAAAATAAAAATGAAATCCTAACAACATGCACTTTTTTCATGATAACTTAGGCCTCAATTGCTAATAATTTTTAAACTACTTTGCTTTTAAACATAGAACTAAATTTGGACTTATAAGAAAAACAATATAATAAAAGATCTAAATTGCCCATATATTTCTTCCAGGGCTTCATACCATTGGCATGACAATTGCAGATTAGCTCACCCATCTCAATGAGAGTAATGTTTTGTATTGCTCAATCTCCATTTCCATAGCTATTTACTAGATAATTAAGAAAGCTGTAGAAGTTATAAGTTCCAAGTCCACATACTTCTAAGCATAATTAAGAAGGCAGTCTATCATTCTATTTATGTTAGACAATTTTGTGATCAAAGTCATCAAATATTAGTAAGATTTTATATATCCCTTCAAAAAGAATGATAAGCCATTTCCTTCAGCCTTAAAACTGTATCACACTTATTTTACGAGCACCAAAATTCACTCTTTCCACCAGCAAACAGCTTCAAACAAACTTCACAGAAAATTTGAAGCCAACGTTCACAGTCCAGCCCACAGCACACAATTTACAACATAAATATAAAGGAATTCAACCATAGTCTGCGAAAAGGTTTCCTAAGCCTGCATCACTCATTCAAGACCGAATAGGAGAACAGAAGGAAGAAGAACAAGCTTACCCCTTGCTTGCCGGGGATCGTGCAGTGCCAAATCATTAGATTGACGGAACCATCAGGCAGCGTTTCCGGCTTCGCAACGAAACCCTAACCAGGAATTAAGAAGCGAAAGCTATATCATCTGTGGAGGGTAATAACTAGAATGGAGTATCGAATGTGAAAAATAGAGTGAGGAGCACTAACGTGGGGATGATTCTTCCGCCATGACTTCCGTTCCTCAGCGAGACGGCCGCGCGCAATGCCCCCCGACATAATTCCTCTGATTTCTTCCTGCAGTTCTTCACTTCAGCTATGCTAAGGGCTAAGCGCAACCCTTATTCATATAAAGCACCCTAAGAAACAATTTTGGGTAGGGCTGTCAATATTTGAGAGGGCCCGAATCCGATAAGAATATGATCCCAAAATTTCATATTATAATCAACTCGTTTCACAAATGGGTTATAAACGGGTTGAGTTCAAATTCTAAGATTCGACTGGTTTGAATAAACATGTCTAATCCCGATTAACTCACTAACTTGAAGTTGACCTAAGTCAACTTGCTAACCCAAAGTTAATCTAGGTCAACCCGCTAACCCAAAGTTAACCCACATCCCAGTCCCGCCCAAAAGCAATAATTGGCATCCTTCGACAACGACAGCCTCCTTCAACGACAACCTCCTTCAACAGTGATGCCTTGTTCGACTACAGGCTCTTGTCAGGGCTCAGAATTCATGACAACCTCCTTCAAAGAGGCACCTCATTCGTCCATGACAACCTGGACTCCTAGAATGATGTTTCGTGTCGGGTTGGGTCAACCCAAAAAATTAATGGGTCAGATTCGGGTCGTGTCAACTAGTGGCGGTTCAATGCCGGGTTCAACCCGAACCCGACCCGCAACTCGATTTTGACACCCCTAATTTTGGGAGCAAGAAAAAAATATTAACATTCACAATAATTGAAAATTTTCACAACCAAGTTATACTAAGAGGCTATTCGAAAGAAAATTAAATGTAAAGTGGCTCTATATGCTCTATATATATAATTCATTTTTAAGGTAAAGTGTTCTGACCCAATTTGAGCGAGAATATGTTAAAGTTATTGTTAAGGAGAGTGCGTGGTCATTTTGAAAAAATGAATATGTTGAACAATAAAATAATTATAAAAATATAATATCAATTTTTTTGTAGCTCTCGGCCTAGGTAACTCATGTTCATAGCGAGATATAACGATTGATTTTTCACTTAAGTGGAGAAAACATAAAGTATTTTTGCTCCTGTTTTTCCTCTCTTTTGATTCTAGTAAGCCAACCAAGGCCACTTATACTGCTCTCTATAAGACGCTACCTTTAATCATTCATATAACTCCTCACTAACTTCTCTCTTTTGAACTTCCCACCGACTAGCTCCAAATAGAAACCACATTGGCAAAAGCTAAGAGAATAAGTCGTTGGCTCTCTTGTTTTCATATTACTAGTTATTAAAAAGTATAGTAAATGATGCAATCTATAGTTGCATTATTTGCACCTATTACCTACTCGCATGCCCAAGTTGTCACGCTCCAACATTTAATTTGGAATAATTTTTTCTTTTATATATTATTAGACAACAATCAGAGCCATCTAATTTTATGTATCAATTAAATGTTAGTGAAAAGAAAACTATCAATCAAAATATCAAGATAGAAATATGCATGCATTTTTTAAAAAATTATAAACATTGCTCAAGATTTATACATTCATAAGATATCTATGTTATCGTGAGTTTAAAAGAATAATTAAAATAATAAGAACCTAAATTTGAATGATCGTAATTAATCTCAAACTCCTACTTCATTGCCCTGACCTGAAATCATTTAATCATATATAATGAGTTCAATAGCCCATCAAGTAATCCAATCCTAAAATTGAACTCAAAACACGACAAAAGAGTAATATATATGTCAACAATCAAATCATAACAGTAGCAATCATATGATTAAGAATCCGTGCAGAAACAATAAAACTCACATGCAGTAGTACAAAAGTCTATAAATCAGTAAAATAATATTGTACGAAAGCCAGTAAATCAATACAGTAATAAAACCAATAAATTAATTTAGTTGTTGAATCAATAATATAGTCATTGTATTAGTATTATCAATTAATAGTAAAATCGTATAAAGTGGTTAAATCAAAGTATCGATAATGAGTGTTAAAATCATATCATTACAGAAAAATCATGCATGAGTGTACACACAGTATCTAGGTACTCTATATCAATAATAAATTAGTATATTGTGTACTCAATATATGACATGCTTATTTATCAGTATAGTGAATCAATATTAGTATTAGTAATAGTGAATCAGTAATAGTATCAGTAACAATTCAGTAATAGTATCGATATATACCAATAAATTTAGTGGTCATAACAATAAAATTATGTAATAATAGTAAATTCATATAGTGATATTAAATCAATACAATATCATTACAGGAAAATATGTTATTATCATCAAACATTTCAGTGGATTTCCGTGCATTGGAAGAAGCGGTAGATTGGATGATGAATATTTCACCGGTAAATTTACGGCACAATTTTTATCATTAATTTATCGGTGCATATTCTGTCTGCTAATTCGTCGGTATATATTGTACTCCAGTGCATTTTTCTTCGGTAATCACTAGTGCAAATTACGCCGGCTTACTTAAACTTGATGAAAACTTTTATTATGATCATAAACCTCCACTCCATTACTAGTTGTTAGGAAAGGGAAAACTTGCGCGCATTCAAATATTTATTCGATATGTGACAGTCATTAATGTACGACATCCATCATCTTGGTCACTCGATCTTATCCTATATTAAATAATCAAGTTGACTAACCAGCATCACCCGAAGTTTGCTAATGATCAATATTTCTCTACCAGCAACTTTTAAATCCATCTTCTTAATCATGTGGTATCCCCTCCTCAGAAGAATGACCACCCATCATTGTCTAATTCCTAAGTTGCCTCTTTAATTATCATTAAATAGCTATCAATTATCATTGCCTAATTTTTGTTTAGTTATTATGCTCGATGCTCATCTTATTGGTCACCCAATCACCATTCCATTGCATACCATCAAGTCAAATGCCCATCACCAACTAGGTTAGATGAAATACCTTATGTCCATGCAAGCTATAACTAACATCGAAGTCATCTCACTATAATGATTAAGCTAGGCTTAACAATTAGGTTGACTTGGGATGCTTGGATTGACAAGGCTTTGACTATATAGGTTAATGCGAGTCCTTGTAATTTAAGTAATCAATCTAGGTTCAATGGTTTATAATTAACCAGGCTAGGTACTCTAGGCTAGCAAGGGTTGATCCAACATGACTCAATCGTATTATGCTTAATCTAATGTTGTTTAGGATACTTAATGAAGTGTATGGGTATATGGTTTCCCTCATATCCACCGCATTAAGGTAGATAGCATTGGGTACAAGCAAAAATATATGACTTATAGACCATCCATAATGCATATGACACCTCAATGAGAAATAAGAATATGTCATTTTTTGAGAAATAAGAATATTACATTTTTTTAATCAAGCTCCAATCATATTCACTTGTTTTAAAGGTCCCTTCATCAAGCCTTTTATATAAATATGCATGATGCATGTTCAACTTATTCATGACCATTCATGCTGTGTTTTGTTCCTAGTTTTAGGATTACTTTTTTGTATAGGTTTTGTGTATGGCACGTGTGGCCAATTGTGTTGCTTTTGTATAGCTTTTAGGTGCCCATTAATAGGCCTTTAGTTTGTATTAGGAGACAAGCCAAGGGAATAAGAAGTTTGCAAATTTTTGGCTCACGCCTCCTCCCTCTCCTCTCTCCCTCCTCCTCTCTCAAGATCAGGTGGAAGTGCTTCTTCCACAAGGAAGGGAGCTCACAATTCACTCTAGTACCATTATCCATACGAGTGAATTAGTGATTCATGTAGGCGATCCGAGCTTATCGAGCTCGCGAGTCGAGCTCGAGCTTGTTTGCAGTTAGACGAGCTCAAGTTCGAGCTCGATTACCATGTAACGAGCCGAACTTGATAAGGGTCTAAACTCGACTCGACTCGACTCGTTTACACCCCTAGGTGTACCTAGGCGATTCTCTTCCACATTCTTGACAATCCTGGCAACTAACAACTATTGACAAGCACCTAGCTTGACCATGTTGTAGAATAGTAAGGATCTCAAGAGAGCTTATAAAGGGATAAAAGTGACTATAAAGAGGTCCTCTTTCTTCTTTTATGTACATAAAATAAGAGATCTAAGATATTCTACATAACATATATACATAGCCTTCGAATACCTATCTCTTTTTTTCTTTTTTTTTTGTTAAGATCTCATTTTATTACTTTCATGTTCGCTTACATCCTATGATGCTAGTGATCTTGCATGGAGGCTCATTTTAAAATATTTCCCTTCTTGCTTTACAAATATGGAGAACTAAGCATATTAAAATTAAAAGACCGGCCTAATCAACCTAACGGCAATATATACATCTCACTACGATATTGGCCCAACAATCTCATAGAGTCCGATTGTTATTTGAATATAAACCTATTAAATTTATAGAGACATATCAATTAAGAGTATTAAATGTATTAGATTTAGCATGCTAAAATATATAAATAAAATTTGGGTCTAAGATTAACAGTCTGTTTCGAGTAGCTTTCTCGTTGTTTTGCTTTTTAGACAGCAACTATAATTTTATTTGACTACTTTTTTTTTTTTTCTCACAGCTTTTCATATGCTTTTGTGATGGAAGCTATTTTTAAGAATCACAATAGTTAAATTGTTTTCCCCATAAGAACTTTACAACAATTTTATAAAAAAACTGATTTATTGATTGGGAGCTTTGACTATCAACTATGAGTTCTTTGATTTGAAGCTTGTATATATGATGCACATGTGAATTTGTCTTAATTAATATGTATGTATGTATATATATATATATATATATATGTATAAAAATATACTTCCAAAAATTAAAAAAATTTTGAGATGTTTGGCATATTTTAAAAAATAACTCACACCCAATCCACTATACCAGTCCTTGCTGGGCCAACTACGACCTAATTAGCCATCGCTATCAACTACAGCCATGTAAATCAACTCATTTAATATCATTAAAACATAAAATAATATATATTTTTAAAAAAATAAAAATATAATTTACTTAACAACAAAATAAAAATAAAAATCATAAGTGCCACAAATACCCGCTTAATTTCACAATCCCAAAAGCTGACCAAATTAGCAAATAAAGGAATACCAACTTTCTTTTTATGTCGCCACAATATTTTCCTCTTTCGTAGTATTAGAAGAGTCCGTATCCATATG